GTGTCGTGTGTCGTGTACGTGTAGCGTACGTCGTAGTGAGTGAGTGAGTGAGTAGTAGAGAGAGAGAGAGAGAGAGAGAAGAGAGAGAGAGAGAGAGAGAGAGACTCTCTCTTACCCCAAATAAAACCCTAATCCCTTTCTTTTGCCAAAACGGCAACATACAAAACTGAAAAGTTTGAAAGAAAACCCTCCTTAAACTATTTTTTGATAAAGAACAAAAAAAAGCAAAAATAACTTGACGTTTTTTGGGACCAGCCTGTTCGGTTATGGACTGGTTCAATGGTCCAGGTGGTCTAAGGACCCGACTGGACAGATAAGGGCCCTAGTTTGCCTGTTCATAGTTTGACCATAGTTCGCCCCTTCCTAGTTTGAATTGGCCGGTCCTGTCTGGTTCTTACATTATTGGAGCTACAGTTCATAATATGTCAATTATTTCATTTTTCCTCCTGGAGAATATTCTGTCATGATTGGCTAGCTGATGACAGATGTTGTACTTGAATTATTCACATATAATATCTGGCTCTCTGTGATTACTTATTCTCTTTTCAGAGAAGTGTGCATGTTGTGGCAATTATGCCTAGTTGGCAATTATGCCTAGTTGTTTGGTTTCTTCTACACAACCTTAGTTGCAATCTCATGTTTACGATTGTACATATGAATATGATACTAATTGGGTATTGTTCTTCTCTAGATATGTTTGCTTTGCCGACAACGCGGACATAGCCTTAAACATTGTCCAAACAATAGTGGAATTCATGAAAATAAATTTTGTTACAACTGTGGAGAAGTTGGGCATTCACTTTCGAAGTGCCCTAAACCTCTTCAAGATGGTACGTTCTAACCAATGTGATCAAGTGCTTAAAATTGCTTATTTTTTATCTCAATGCGAATTGGAGTCTATCTTTTAAATGTCAACTTATCCTTCTTCTCTTCTTCTCCCGCCTCACCTAGAAAGGCCTTTAATATCCAAAGAATGCTTCACATGATATTCAAACAATGGTTAATATAATCCACCCACTTTCCTAGAAAACTCACTAGGACATAAGATGGTCAGTGTCTTGCTCTTCTATTCAGTGAAGATTATGCATAGTTAGATTGATACCATTTTTTTTTTCCCCCTCATTCTTTTACCTTCTTTTGGTAATTGGTTTTGTTTGCTTATTGTTAGATGCTTGCTTTGTGGTGTTTATTGCTAGGATATCTAGCATGCTTTTGGTGGCCTTGTTTATTCAGAAGGGATGAAAGATAGAGGGACTTGGGAGTTAAAGAGAGCTGGTGATTTTGTGAATGCAATTGATTTATAGAGGGATAGAGGTGCGTCTTAGGAGTTTTAGAGGAGTAGGGTGGCCGTGGGTCTAAATGAGATAACAAGCGAGGAATAAGATGGTGGAGATAATAGGTTGGGTTATCTTGACGAATGGTTTCCCTTAAAAGTTTCTGACCTTTAATAATAAAAAACGGAATTCTGACTTCTAATGTATTTTTCTCACCTTTTATGTCATATCTAAGTATTGGATACATCTGTTGGGACCATTTTCCAAAAAATGCAAGTGGCTTCACTTCTGGTGACATCCATACTCTAAATGGCCTTATGGCTTTTGCAAGTTTTGAGGCATGTATTTGGCTATCCATGTGAATCAACATCTTGCAAAAGATTTGGCTCACCGCACACATTAAAACCCTTATTTTGCATGAGAAACAAGAATTTGGCCTTGTGTTTGCAACATGATCAATTTTGCATGGAGTGACCTTGCGAACTGTAGTTTCCATCTTCTTCGAAGCTTATTAGGCTTCGATGTGCATGGGAACCATGAAAAGTGATCAACTTGGAAATTTTTTCTAGGTCGAGAAGTATGGACCTGAGAGTCGGGTTTGGTCGGGCTGGGACCTAATAGGGACAGTTTGTGTATATAAATTTATATTTGATATTATGACCTGACAAGTTGGGTCCAAGTCCAATCGGTATGGACCTGGCCTTGGCCTTATCCCAGACTCAACCCGGACTCGGATCTGACCTGTTTGTATCCTAGAGTAATGCAGTAATTTTTAAAAGATTTTAGATTAGAGAAAAAAAAGTTACCAGAGGCACTAGGCAAAGTAAAATAGAGAGGCAATCAAGTGAGTAGATGGGTTGAAAAAATTGCTTGAACATGGGGAGTTTCAGTTTGGTTAGAGCTGCCTTCTGCTAATGCAAGCCTGGCTTAGTACCCAGGTGTTTTCCCTATCATAAACTTGTCTCTGTGATTCTCTCTTTGTAATTGTTTTTTCTTTTATTATCAATCAAAAGAAAGTGAAAAAAGGAGGGGTGGTTCTTGGATGACTTTTTACTGATTCTTGTATATTCAGTGCATGATAAAATTCCTGGAATGTCAGTGATAAAATAAATAATGCATTGATTTATTGAATCTTTCTATATTATGCTGTTTGTGGTAACCTTTGATGTGTTCTATTGTATGCAGGGGGCACTAAATTTGCAGAGTGCTTCCTATGTAATGGTCATGGGCACCTGAGCAAGAATTGCCCTAAAAACACACATGGAATTTATCCAAAGGTATATGAGAGTGTCCTGCTTGAAAGTCACTAAGAAGAAAAACACAGGGTCTTCTTTTTCTAAGGACTCCGATGTTAAAATGAAAAGAATCCCTTGATTTCTTTGAATGTCTAGCAACTTTAACATCATGTTAGGTGGTTCATGGTTGCTTCTAGTTCAAGTTTTAGAATTTATTTTTCATTTTTTCAGTTTTATCTGTTTCTATATTATCTTTTGGCTTCTTTAGATGAAACTGGCCAATTTTTCATTTTGGTGCTCCAAACACTTTTTTGGTGCCAGGGTGGTTCCTGTAAATTATGTGGAGGCGTCACACATTTGGCTAAAGATTGTCTGAGTAAGCACGATAAGAAGCCAGTAGAAGTTGCAGAGACAGAGTACCCCAATGCGAGTAAGTTTATCATAACTGTCTTCACTATTTGAAAATTCGGCCGCCCGACCGCCTAGGCGAAAAAATTCAAAAAACGCCTAGTCACTGTCTGGGTGGGGTCATTATGCAGCCTGTCTCTAGGCGGCCGCCTAGGCACTACTATCTGAGCTCCCGCCTAGGCGCCGCCCTGTGACACTTTGCGGACGGGCAGAAAAAAAACTTCGGTGAGGATCAAAAAATTTAATTTTTTAAGGGGAAAAGGGTTTTGGGGGGTATTCTGAACCTCCAAAACATAAACTGTGGCCTTTAGGGTGAGAACACCCTCCAAAAACCACTCTTTTGTGATTTAACGAAGGATCGATAAATTTTTTTATTTATTTTTATTTCTTTTATGAATAGTTGATTCCTTCTTTGTACAATATATCTTTTTGATTTCTTTTATGAATAGTTGATTCCTTCTTTGTACAATATATCATGTTTCGTTATTCTATTATTTTTGTTTTTCTTTATTTGATAATAATTGATTATGTATTTATGTGATATCTTAATGAATTAAGTCTTAATTCTTAAAGTGAAACTAAGATCTTATAGTTTCATTTATTGTAAAGTAATATTAAGTCATACTGTTTTGAAACTAAAATCTTAGTGATATCATATCATATATCTTAATTTTTAAATTCTTAAATTATATGATATCTTAATGAGTAAAGTCTTATTGTAAAACTAACATAGTGACGTCTTAATCTTATATATTCATTTAAAACTCATATCAAGGGGGAGAGGGGGGGTTTCAATTTTTTTGAGGATTGTGAGGGTACCCCAGCCAGACACCCAAAACGCCGAGGCGCCTTAATCCGTAGTTTTGAACATTGACTGCGATATGTTTTTGCCAAATATGCTGCTTGTACCATGTGTTGTTGCTTTGGAATATTGATTGGATACTTTCTTTTTGATAAGTAAAGAATTGTTTTGTATTGCTTATGCAAAATTGCTATCTTTAAGATCATGGATGTCTTAGTGAAACATACAAAAATATATCATTTAGTGAAATTAATGATACAGTTATACAGGAATTTATTCTTTTGGTGAATTTGCCTATTTTCTTTCCACTATTTAGATATGGAAAAAGTTTATATAAGTGCGAGGCTCTAAACAATCAAATTAGGGTGCAACTCAAAAAATTCACTAGAAAAAGTTGTTTGATGCCCAAATATCCTGAAATTGATCATCTCAACCTCAAGATGCATGGACATGAGAAAAAAATGGATTTCAAATTTTGGAAATAGTGTATCTTGTAATGCATTTTTAGACCGTGAATTTTCAGGTTTTTCAAGTTTTCATATATCTGCTCAATCTACATTATTTTTGAAGCTTTAAATTTTATAGTTAGTGATGAAAATATATTTTAAAACTATCACAAATATTTCCAGCATTGAAACCACATTTCTCGATACTATTTGAAGGTGCAATTTACTTTGATTGTTTAGAGCCTCGACCCTATACATTGTTTAGAACCTCGACCCTATACGAACCGCACCCGATAGATATTCATAGTTAAAATTGAATTAATGTACTATTTTGAGTCGAATTGAAAACCTGACCTCATTTACTTCAAAGGTAAATAGAATCTTGCTTTGCTATCCTATGTGATGACAACAAATGGTAATCCACCTTTTTAACTTTTTTGCTTTCCTTGTTTATACAGGCCAGCAAGGAAAAAGGAAAGCATTTGCAAGTGGGGATGATCTTGATGATGAGTTTGCTTTAGAAGAAGAGAAGACCAAACAGAAAAATAGTGATAAAAGTTCGGTTGTTGATACTGGTCCTTTGGGAATAAAAGTCGAAAAGAGCTCGAATGTGAAGCCTAAGAAAGATAGATCAAAAATTGTAAATTTTACTGGTTGATATTGACATTTACATAAAGGTTTTATGTGAACGAATACTTTTGGTAGTTTTTGTTTCTTTTGAAATTTAAGTTAGCAATCTCATATGCTCATTTAGATTTTATAAAGAAAATGTATATAATGAGATCATTTATTGTTGATACAGGGATGGCACAATCATCATTGACCGTTGGATTTGAAATCAGATGGTTAAGGATATGTCATTGTTTGAGCACAAATACCAAAATAAAATTTTTTGAATGTCGTGACACTTTCATCTATAGGATTTTGTATCCAATAAGCTAAAAAGGATTGTGGTGTCTTTGTACCAAAAATAAATGGTCATAGTATACAATCCCATTTACTATTTCGTGGTGCTTTATGTTTGTATTCCTTGGTTTCGGAGAATAAACATGCATTCACAAATATTTTCATGATCAATGTTGCATGAGAAACAAGGATTTGGCCTTGTGTTGCAAACATGATCAATGTTGCATGGAGCAACCATGCCAACTGTAGCTTTCCATCTTCTTCGAGGCTTATTAGGCTTCGATTTGCGTGGGAACCATGGAAGTGATCAACTTGTGAGTTGGGTCTGGGTCCAGAATTATGGACATGAGAGTCGGGTCTGGTCGGGCCAGGACCTAATAGGGTCTGATTGCGTGTATAAGCTTATATGTGATATTATGACCTGTAAGGTTGGGTCCAAGCCCAATCAATTTGGGTCTGACCAGTCTGAAACTAGCCTGGCCTTATAGCAGACCCAACCTAGACTCGGATCCGATTGTTTATATCCTAGAGTTATGCAATAATCTTTAAAAGACTTTGGATAGAAAAAGATAGTTATCAGAGGCACTAGGCAAAGTACAACAGAGAGGCAATCAGGTGAGCAGATGGGTTGATAAAATTGCTTGAACATGGGGAGTCTCAGGTTGGTTAGAGCTGCTTTTCTGCAAATGCAAGCCTGGCTTAGTATCTGGATGTTCTACCTATCTTATACTTGTCTCTGTGAATCTTTTTTTTTAATTTGTTTTTTCTTTTAACTTTTTACTGATTCATGTATATTCAGTGCAGAATAAAATTCTTGGATTGCAGAATTTATATAATTATTGAATCTTTCCATATTCTACTGTTCGTAGCAGCCCTTTGATTTGTTATGTTGTATATAATGGTCAATAAACACTCTGAAATAAAACATGTTACTCAGTATTTATGTATTTACAGTGAAATAATGGAAATACATAATGCAAGACCCCATTTTTGGAAACTTGAAAAAGCTAGACTTTTAATTTTTTTTTTTTCAGTTTTTTGAGATTTATTCAAGGTCGGATTGGCTTGAGCTGGTTGATCCACTGATTCGGATCGTTGATTCATTGATCCAGAATGGTTTTCTAGATGACTGATACAACTAGCCAATCTAGGCTTTCAAACACTAGGTTCACCACTTCATATCAATTTAAAATGTAATTTAAAATGTAGGGCAAGGCATACTTTGTTTGCATATAGTGGGGGTGGAGCCATCTCAAAGAGATGAGATTGGTAAATAAGAAAGAAAAAATAATAGTAATAAATAAAATATCATCGGCTTATTATCGATATATGAAATGATGAAACCAATGGTTATCGAGATGTATGAATATGAAAAGAACAAAAATATTTCGAGTTCTAAAATAGTTTATCTCGCCACACATTATCTGGATTGTCTATTTTTAAGATTTTCAAGGTTTATAGATCTATTTGATTTGAACCATATCTTGAGTTTACAATTTTGTAACTAGAGATAAAAATAGATTCTCAAGCCATCCTAAAAAGTTTTTGATACCAAAATTATATCTATGATAATTTTGAGGTGCGTCTTAATTTGATTGTTTAAGATTGCAACCTTATACAAACCACGGCTTTATGTGATTATTTGAAAATAACCACTTGTTTGCGACTAACATTTAATCTTAATTTTTCATTTTCTCTTTTCTTCTCCAGGTGGATAAGCCACCAGGCTACAACCCTTGTGCTTTAACCACTCAAGTCAAGAGAGGACTCTAAAAGAATATCAGTTCAAAAAATGGAAAGCAAATAAATAGGGAAGCATATTCTTTTTGCTCTCCCTAAAGGGGGACAAGGCATTTTATTCAAGAACTATACGAAGATTTTGGGATCCACTTAGGAAACATGAAAGGATGTAAGATGTCCATTTAAAATATGGGAAAAGTGTTGGTTTCCTTAATTTGGCTTGGAGACTTTTGGGTGCAAAATTTGTTATCATTGTGATCATTGAGCATGCAAAATATAGTGTTCATTTTTCCTTCCTTTTGTATTTCATTCACTTTTTATTTGCCATGTTTTTTTGTGAGCTGGGAAGATAAACTTTTGTTTTTAACAAGAACAAGTTCTTATTTTATACAAGCATATGCCATTCTATAAGAGAATGCTCTTTGCATGATTGGGAGTTTGGACATCTCCATAAAAGGGAAAACTTATCTAAAATATAGATGCTATAATAAACATAAAGTGCGTAAGCTTGAACACAAAAAAATTGGTATAAAAGTAACTACTTTTTTATTTTTTTGTGTGGAAATAAACAAAATTTAATATGCATATTTAAAAATTTTAATTCGTTTTATGTAAAATACGAAGTTAAGCTCATCATAGTTGATGCTTGTTGGGAGTCCACAAAATTATGCAATAAAGAAAAAAGGTTCCCAATTAAACTGTCTGGTTGAGGATTGCTTAGCCTCTAAATCTACTGGTTTTGAAGTAATGCCAAATTTTAATCAAAGAATAAAATGGGGGCTACTACCGTATTTTTGCAAAATACAAGAGGGTTGCAATATTTAAGGAGAATGTATGAATGAATGGTATCAAACAAACTAACCAACTTCACAAGAGTATGTGAATCGCAAAAACATACAAATGCGTATCCTATTTTTTCAATAGTTTAAGAGTTAGTTTTTTTTTTTTTTTTAAGGTATTAGACGGTGGTGTCAGTGAGAATAGAGATCATAAAAACCATAACGTGGTGACTAGATTGTGGGGGGTGCTACGACCACGACCCCAATCCCAGTCCCAACCCTTTTTCCTAAACAAACTATAGTTACTTTTGTAGTATCGTATGTTACCTGCATAAGGTCATGTGTTAGCAGTCATTAATTTCATTTTGGTATATTAGACACCATTAATTTTGCAATGTCACACCCGTAAATATTAATTTCACTTTGGTATTTTGGGCACCACATATCTAAACACCATTCAGAAAAAGGGGAGGGTTGAGATTTTAAGTGACGACATTAGGTGGATTTATAGTATTAGTTCAAGAAAAAATATTTATAAGTGTCTAAACTTCGAAAGTGTTTGACACAAATGTCATGTCTCGTACGTGGATATGTACAAAAAAACCTCATACGCATGCTTTCATGTTGAATAGTGAATATGATAAACATTATAATAGTCAGTAATTTAAATGTCACAAGCAATACTATGTTCAGCTATGGAAGATGCCATAGATACATGCATTTTTTAGGGGTGGCAATGGGTCGGGTCGGGTCGGGCTAGAGTTTGGCGGGACCCAAACCTGGACCGGATAAACTATTATGGGACCCCAACCTGAAAATATAATGTGGGGCTCGGATCCGGACCTGAACCTGAATGGACTTGATTGGACTCGACCAAAAAATTAAAATATCTATATATTTAAATTATTTAAATATATTTTCATAAATTGAAAAATGTGAGACCCAGACTTGGACTCATACCCAAATAGTTTAAGTCCAAGATTTAGACCCGGACCCGACTGCCAAGTCCAATTCTTTGACCCATACCCAAACCTGGGTCAGGTCTGGGTCCATTGTCACCTCCAGTATTGTCTTTAGGAAATTAGATTGTATACTACTAGACCATTTACATTTGATAAAATATGGTCACAATCACCCTTTGCCTTTAGATGTGTGCATCAAAGGGTTTGAAAAATTTTTGTTACTTTGAACCGGCAGATTCTCCATTGCTGGATTTCACACCTGTGGTACTGGTGATTGTGCATAAAAAGGAGATTACTGCCGCACAAAAGGAAGAGTGTATAATACACCATAGAATTATATCTCCTTTTCTTTATAGAAAAAGTTTGTATAAAGATGCTACTTTATAGTGTAGAACTACGGATGCCCTAAAAAATTCATTGGAAAAGTTAGTTTTAATGTTGAAAACCTTTTGATTGATCATCTTAATATCGAGATGTATGATTATGAAAAATAAAAAGATTTTAAGTATCAGAAATAGTGCATTTTACATTATATTATCTACACCGTCCATTTTCAAAATTTTCATATGTTTATAGATCTACTTGATTTTAACCATTTTTTAAATTTAAAATTTTATAATTAGATATACAAATAGATTTTGAGATAATCCTAATAACATTTTACATCAAAATTATATACCATGATAAAATTTGATGGGCACCGTACCTCTACACATACGGAGGCATCTGTATGGAAACTACACCTTTTCTTTATTAGTCCATTATTATTATATATTCTTGAATGTGGCTGTATTGGATAAATATAATAGGCAAAAAATTTTATAGAACGGAGGCTCTAAACAATTAAATTAAAACCCACATCAAGAATTTTACTAGAAGATGTTGTTTTGATGCCCAAATATCTTTAAATTGATCAGCTCAACATCAAGATGCATGAACATGAGAAAAAAAAATGGATTTCAAGTTTTGAAAATGATGCATCTTGTGATGCATTTTTGGATCGTCAATTTTCAAGATTTTCAAGTTATCATATATCTGCTCGATCTAACTATTTTTGAAGCTTTATATTTTATAATTAAATATGAAAATATATTTTACGGCTATCATAAAGATTTCTAGTATTGAAACCACATTTCTCGACACTATTTGAAGGTACGCTTTACTTTGATTGTTTAGAGCCTCGGCTCTATACAAACCGTGCCCAATATAATATGATCCGTATCCGCATTATATAAGAAGAGATTTTTCGATATTACTATTATAAATGTCTCGATATTTTCATGATGACTACCAAACGAGAACATGCATCCATTACCTTCAATTTTACAAGAAAATAACAAATTGAAGCACCGAAAGCAATACCCTTTACGTTTTATTCTATTGTAGAAAGGCAATTGAATCACTCAAAATTCTACCTCTGCCCTTCATTTTATAATAAAAAATATAACTTGAAGCACAATGCTTTTGGACAATGAAAGGTTGTGGTCCTCAAAACGTTGAATAGGGGGATAATTAAAAAATAAACAAATAAAAAGGTAATCTAGAAGTACTGGGACTGGAGGGAATTAGTGGGGATGACTGGATTTCCTTGAAAAAGTAAAAAAACAAAAAGAAAAGGAATAAAATGTTCTTGAAGAACTTGGATTAAAAGCGTTTGTGGGGTTGAGGGATATCTATTACAAACACTTAAGAAGAACCTGCATTTTTCACCGGGGGCCCTAATATTTGCTTATGATATAAGCATTGCTATGAGCAAAGTGGGCCTAGAAGAAACTATTTTTTGAGGGAATCGATGGAATCATAATCATCCTTAGTTGTTCGATGAAACAGGGCAATTAGAGATGTGCTATTGATTGATGTTAAACCCCAAGAAATTTTTATGGACCCTGGAACAACTTCTCATAAATTAGTTTATAAAGATGTTCAATTTCTCTTTTTTTGGGTTAGCAACTTGGAACAAGTAGGATATTTACATCTTTTGATTGGAGTGACTGGGATTGAATCGCCAAAATTCCCCTGTTCAATCGGGTTTCAAACCTATAAAAAGATTTTTTAATGGAAAAAATATGTTTTCAATTTGGTAACTGAATCAAGCAGTTCATGTGGATCAAGCGACTTAAGTGGCTCAAATTGATATAATGCCCTTACGTATTTAGGGCTACAAACACAACACAACGGCAATTTGGGCATTTCTAATAAATTATTTGAGAAGGTACCTAAATAAAGCGATTTTAAATACAACCACTTTGTTGGTAAATTTTTTTGTTTAACCACTTCAGTGATTTTTTAAAGTGGTTTGACCAATATAATAATATTTTCCCAAAAAATAATTGAAGTTTTTGACAATCTATAATTTGCAAAGAGACTCTACTACAATGAAGAAGGTCTATTTAGACAAATTTTCACATGATTGATTAGTTTCCAAGTAATTTAGATATTTCAATGAAGTTCTAAGAATTAAAGATAGTGGGGTAGGAAAGTGTTTTTTGTGATAGACTGCCTTTGAATTAACATTCTCCAAGTTGGGACAAAATGTCTTCCATGGAGGTTAAGCTAGTGATTCAACCTAGGTTTTTGCAACCTCTTTGATCAAGGAAAAGCATGAAATTTCTATCCTTGTTTGTAAGTGTTGCCTGGCTTTACTCCTTTGTAGATTATTTTTCTTTACATTTACTTGTCCCCTTTGAAGTTACAATTAAGTGGTTGATCATGTAATTGCATAAAGCAAGGTAAAATCTCAAAACAAGCCATGTAGGAAGACCAAATAAAATCTTACTAAAGTTGCAAACTTATAGCTAAACCTAGCCCAATCACCTCTCAAACAAACCAGCTTAGATATTTACAGATGTTGCAAGATCCTTTTCATAGATGTGTAAGTCCCTAGAACTGCAATAATGGAGCTCATGATCATAATCCCCACTATGATCCCCATCTCCACCTTTCCATGCTTTGAATTCTTTGTGATCTTCAAGTAAAAAAGGCATGGCAAGAGGAAATTCAAAGTACTATTAAGAGCTGATCCACCCAAGGCAACCAAATACCCAAAGAATGGAACTGTGAGAGCCACTATCACAGTGCTAGCCACCAACATTGTTCTAAACAGAAGGCTCATGACTATTCTCTTGCAAATGGGGACTGCATCTTCTACTGCAACTACAATTGGGGTCACAACTATTGCATATTTCACAATGGGAATTGTGATGATGGTGTATATAGCTATCTTGGAGCTGATCTTTCCTTTTGGAAGATTCAAAGTGATTTGAGACTTTACATTTTGTCCATACATTAGGTACCCAGATACTGCCATTATTGAATAGGTCAAAGCAGCAGTTGCAAAACAAACAATGATCATCTGCATCAATAAAAGGAAAGTTTGTTTATGATGTATTTTCTCTTTTCTCGCACTTAAATACGAAACCAAAAACTTAAATGTTGAGTTCATGTAAGCTTACTTTCATGGCCTTGCTCCTGTCTTTCATTGAGGAGGTAATGGTGGGCAGAACTCCATGTCCTGATAAGCAAAATGCAAAAATACTAGCAGTTGTGGGCAAACCTTTGTAACTAAAAAGCCTTTTACTTGGATGAAAAGCAACCCCATCAAACAAGCCAACCCAAACAACTGATCCCACTATAAGAATAGGGGCCAAAACCCCACAAGCTGAGACATAAGCTAGAGGCCCCAAACCTCTTAGCCAAACAGTGGGTAATATTATCGAGGAAGATATGAAGACAAAAGCTTTTCTCCCTTCTATTTTAAACCCTCCAAGTCTTAAACTCATATTGGGAAACATTTTTTCCAAATTGTCACCTTCTATTATCAGTTGCTCCACTGCAATCATGTACATTGAGAGGCATAGAGCTACTGATACAAAGATTTTTCCTTTACGACCAAAGGCTAAGTTGGCGATTTCGGGGTACGCTCGAATTTTTGGATCCGTTTGCATGCATCGGATGAGAAGTGAAGCAGTATAGCAAGCTACGATCGCCACAAGAATGAGCAACAGTAAGCTCATCCACCCAGTTTCTGATACTGCATATGAAACTGCTACTATCCCAATTCCTGATTAAGCAAATAGAGTTATGATATTAGAGCCTCATCAAAAAATTGCAATGAAAGAGATACGAAACACACACACACATATGGGATTGTATACAATGTGACCATTTACCATTAGTACAAGGAGGTCACATTTACTTAATGACCATCCGATGTGAAATCTGATAGCCTGTGGGTGTCATAAAATTCAAGAAAATTTCTTTTGAACCTTAGACTTGGTCAATGAAATAAATGCAACCACCTAATTCCATATCCAATGGTTAAGATTAATTGTGACCACCTTGTACCAAAGGTAAATGGTCACAGTGCATGCTTTTCCTATATGTATATATGATGCATATTTTTCTTTCTCTTTCAAGTATTATAGATTTTATATAAGATTGTAACCTTACTTGTAGAAGTAAGGTTGTAGTAATATGCACCGTCTATTTTATTTGGATTGTTTAGATTTGATACTATCTTAAAAGATATGTTACTTTTTGACCGTCTTCAAAGACATATCAAATCTATACCATATTAAATGGACGGTGTAGAATAACGCAACCTTACTTTTGAAAGTGAAGTTACAATCTTAAAAAAACCACACTCTTCAGATAATAACTTAACAAGAAATAAGAGAGTTTTCATAAGTCTAGACTAAAAATTATGGTCAAAAGATTATCTGATCCACTAGAGCATATCAGTCATTCACTCCCTTTAGTAAAACCGTACTTTTCAATTATTTCTTGGGCTTCAAATTTTGGGGATGTAACCTAAACAAATTAACCAAACCCCAGTCAAAAGGAAAAAAAAAGAAAAAAAGAAAAATCCATACTCCCTGGTGCTTGAAAAAATAACGTCCTACGTTTGAACTAAGGTTGTCTATATTTCACTAGTCAGAACCAAGTATTCAGGCTCTTAAAATTCAACTTTTTCTGTGAAAAAGCTATTTACATGGCGATTCTCATCCAAAACTCTATATGTAAAAAAATTCATCATGAGATACTCTAACTGTACAGTGTGCTCTCATGGGAGTAGGGCTGCCATCCCGGTAAGGCCCAGAAATGCTCAGGAAAGGAGGCCCGCACAGAAGGACCTTATTGGGCTGGGATTCCGCCAGGCCCATTAAGAAGCCTTCTTAAATTTTTTTCTCCGTGAGCACAGACAATTACGTCTTGGATTCCCACTAACAAAAAAAAAAAGGCAAAAAATAAAAAGGAGAAAGCAATAACATTAAAAAAAATAATAAAAAGGAAAAATCAATGGGAGAGATTTTAGAAATTATCACGAATATGCGGTGTTCGAGCCATCAAAGGGAGTCAACATAACTAGTCTTGGTCGCCATCAATGTATCAAGTAAAATGTCGACAAAGGCCTTAAGAAATGGAGAATCCATCGTTCATCCTCCTCCACGGACGATGAAGATGAAGCCTTCAGTTCAATTAGAAGCTGTTACGGTCTGTTACAAAACCAACGCTTCATATCCATCGTACATTCGGGAGATTACAGACAGTGAATGCCCCTTCATGAATAGTAGACTATGAGCCATGTTAATTTGCTTTCTGTTGCAAAATGAAGGCTAGCAAATGTCGGCGTGGCGTGGAGGCGCGGCGGGTCGGTTTGGGTCTGGGTTCGGGTCAGCAGACACATACTGTAGGGGTGGCGACAGGTGGGGTCGGGTCCAATTAGAGTGCACCTCAAAAATTTCACTAGAAGAGGTTGTTTTGAAAGCCCAAATATCTTCAAATTGATACATCCGGATAGATGGACATGAGACAAAAATAGATTTCAAGCTTTGGAAATAGTGCATCTTATGATGCATTTTTGTACTGTCAATATTCATGATTTTTAAGTTTTCATAAATCCACTCGATCTGCACAATTTTTGAAAGTTTAAATTTTATAATTAAAGATAAAAATATATTTTAAAACTATCACAAAGATTTCCAGTACTGAAACCACATTTCTTGCCCTCTACTTTGATTGTATAGAGCCTTGGCTCTATACCAACTACACCCATACTTAAATATTATAGCTAAAAATACATATTTATATTTAAATAAAATTTAATATTATATATTAAATATTATTAAATAATAGCATGTCGGGTCTGGGTCAGGGTCCAACTCAAATAGTGTTTGGGTCCAATATTTAAACCCTAGCCCGATCCTGCGGGTATCAATTTTTGAACCCATACCCAGACCCAAGTCGGATCCGGTTCCATTGCCATCCCTAGCTAGCACCATATTTTGAGAGAGCACCTGAACACACACACAGACTAGAGAGAGGCGATTGGGATCAAGATCTTTTATGTTCATGTTGGAGAGAGAGAAAGGGAGAGATAGAGAGAGAGAGAGAGAGAGGTTTTCGAGCATCAATGAGAAAAAGCTGGAATTGCAAAATTGAAAAGACAAAAGAAACATTTGACAGGACACGAGAGAATTCCAATCCATAAGAGAAGAGAGAGTTGAAAGAACCTGACAAAACGTTTAACAGATTGAAACAAGCCTTGGCGAAGGTTATGCCGCCATTCGCATCAGACTGAGAATGCTGGGACTCCTTCTCACCTCTCTCGGCATCCATGGCTCCTGCTTGGTTTTTATGAATGCCTTGCTTTGCTTCCTATCTCATGCTTGATATATGAAGAAGGGCATGCCTTTTGAAAGCTACAGGCTCTCTCTCTCTCTCTGGTTCTTAAGTACCATGGTGAAAAAACAATTCAACAAAGCTAACTGTTTTTTTAATTTCGTTTCATGAATTTCTTAAGGAGGGCATGGCTAATTAGGTAGACGCGTTTATTGAAAGCTAATGGAGTCTCTCTGGAGGCAGTAGGTCAATGGGCGACAGGATCCCTTTGTCTCTCTCTTTCTTAACTCTTTGGTACAGTTTCTCTCTCTAAAAGTCTTTCTATATAGCCATTGACGTACAGTCTCTCTCTCTCTCTTTTTCTTGGTTTCTCTGGAACCTCACTGCCCTGTGCATCACAAAAATTAAGATCACAATGCTGCAAAAGAAATTTAAGAAAAAGATTCTTTCAGAAAAATATTCTTTCTTCTTTGATTGTTCCCTATTCCCATTGAAACCTAACTTTCGTCATTACTACGAAAGAAAAGTATATTGAGAGACCATTAACATTTTAACTTTCGTCATTACTACGAACGAAATTAAAGTATATTAAAAAACCATTTACATTTTGTACAAGGCGGTTATAATTAATCTTGACTATTGGATGTGAAATTAAGTGACTATATTTATTTTATTGGTCAAGCTTAAAGTTCATTTTTTTTTTTTCATACTTTGTAACATCTCCAAGCTTTCAAATTTTACGTCAGATGGTTATAAATAATTATGACATTGTAAATGATCTCATTGTATACAATCTCTACCACAAAATTAAAATTGTCTTCTTTAATTTTTATTTTGAGAAGATTGCATATGAATCTTATTTGTTTTTGTAAAAATTTAAAACTCATCTCGTATATTTAATTTTTTTTGTAAGGAGTCTCATTTTTTGTATATAATATATTTTATTTTATTATTATTTTTATATAATAGATTAAGCTCGAATTTGGTATGTTCATACTTCTCAACATTAAGTATTTATAAAAATATTGAAAAATAATTTAAAGCAAATAAAATTATCTAAATACCACTAAATGGTCATTTATTATTTTTGAATTATATTTTAAATAATTTGTAAAAGTATAGGATAAAAATATGGACTTATTAAATTTGTGCTTAATCCAATTCATAGGGAAAAAAAAAAGGTAAAAAATTCAAATAGGTTTTATGCTCTCAGAAAGTGGGACTATACGAAACATATAAAACAATTTATATGTATTGAAAATGAAATAGGATTTTTCTAAAAATTTTCCTTTTATTTTGAGCACAAATGGCCATTTTGCCTGTAGCTTTCAAAGTTGGAAAGAAGATTTCAAATATTTTCATATGTGTCAAAATCATGGTCAGATTAATTTCTCATGCCGAGGGTCAGATTAATCTCTCATGCTAAAAAGTACCCCAAGGCATTCAAAGGATGTTTCCCCTATTTTAAAGATCTAATATATAAAGCGCATGAAGGGAATGCTCTCTATGATTCCACTACAACATAAAATTTATATACTCTGAATGGAGGGCTAATATTGTCCCAATCTGAATGGAGGGCTACATTGTTTTATTTTTAATCATTTTTATATAAATTATTTTAGCACCAAATTTTGGGCGTCCAATCCTCTAATAAACATGCACACTTAAAAACTATTAAAAAGTGTTTCCAATAAAATAAAATGATAAAAAACCCCTACAATTTTCAGTGGCATTTTGGTTATTATATTTTATTGATATTTTTTACAAGTGTGCTCCAATGAGAAGATGGCACGTACCAAATTTTATATTTATATAATTTGTATAAAAAATTAAAATAAATACTCTGAAGCGTTTGATCTAAGATCAAACGGTGTGTGGCTCACTTGATCAAAATTGGGCGTTTGGATAGTAGGGAAAGCATAGATCTTCTATGTTGTAGGGGAAGTATAGAACTTTTTCCATATATAAATTAAAGAAAAATAGAGAATGAGATCATTTACCTTTGGTACAAGGTAGTCACATTAATCTTGACCATTGAGTGTAAAATTGGATGGCTGCAATTATTCCATTGACCAAGTTCAAACTTCAAAAGAAATTTTTTCAAACTCTTGAAACATCCAAGCTATCAAATTTAACATCGGATGGTTGTAAATAATTGTGACCACCTTGTATCAAAGGTAAATGGTCTCACTGTATATAATCCCATAAATTAATTTGGAGAGCGTTTATATAAAAGGTGCGGTTTGCATAAGGTTGCAACCTTAAACAAGTCTAATTAAGGTGCACCTCTAAATTTTGCTGTAAATATAATTTTGATATCAAAATTTTTTAGGATGGCTTGAGAATCTATTTTCATCTCTGATTATAAGATTTTAGACTTAAAAAATTGTTCGAATCAAGTAGATTTATAAGCATATGAAAATCTTGAAAATGGACAATCCGAGATAATGTGTTGTAAGATACACTATTTCGTAGATCCGAAATATTTTTTCTTTTTATATTCATATATCTTGATGTCAAGATGATCAATTAGAGAGTTTTCCAACATCGAAACAACCTTTTATGATGAATTTTTGATGTGCACTTTTAATTCTACATTTTAAGGTTGCAACCTTCTATATAAACTTTTTCCTTATATAAATACTGAGATTTATGATAAAAAATATAGCTGCACCTCAAAACTCTACCAAAAAATTGCAGTTTCAATGTCATAAAACCCGCAAATTAATTATATCAACATCAATAAATGTAGATTTGGAAAACTAACGAATTTCAAGCCTTAAGAATAATATATTTTATAGCATATTATTTATTTCATCAATTGTTCACAAATCCACAAGGGCTCCACTATTTGTGGAGCTTCAAATTTTGTAATCAAGATCTAAAGTAAATTTTCTCGGCATCATAAGAATTTCAAACATAGGAACTGCTTGTTTTCTTTTTTGTGTGTGTGTTTTTAAGGTGGGACTTTTCCTTTTTAATATAAAGCCTAGGCCCCTTGTAAGAAGCACCAAATCAAATCACACAGAGTCTCAAAGTAATGTCTTATGAAAGACAATGCTTTCATGAAAGATTGATGTAATCCTTTTTTGACTTTAAATTGTACGGAGGTGATCATATTTTAAGGAAAAAATATGAATGATGTGAATTGGAATCCTTGCAGGAGCCATTGAAGAAAGTCCATGCCAACTCAACTAACCAAGAATATTTTATTTTGTGCAAGCCATTAACCTCTTTAGGGATATGATGAAGGAAAAAGTTTTTATAAGGTTGCGACCTTGGAAATGTAGAATTAAAGACGCACATCAAAATTCATTATAAAAGGTTGTTTGGATGTTGTAAACCCCTCTAATTGATCCTCTCGACTTTGAGATATGTGAATATAAAAAGGAAAAGATACTTCGAGTCTACAATATATTCTATCTACAACATATTCTATCTTACAACACATTATGTGGACGGTCCATTTTCGAAATTTTCATGTGTTTATAGATCTTCTTAATTTAAAGCATTTTTAGAGTTCAAAATTTTATAATTAGAGATGAAAATAGATTCTCAAGCTATCTTAAGAATTTTTTATATCAAAATTATATTTATGATAAAATTTAGAGGTGCGCTTTAATTGGATTGCTTAAGGTCGCAACCTAATGCAAACCACACCTTAAGATGAAAATACAATTCATTGTCCTACATAGAAGGGTAAGTATAACCATAGGGCACATTAACAATGTTATCTCGGAGGGAAGCATAGATTCTAGTGATCAACAAAACAATCCAATCATCTTAAAAAATCATTGAGGTAGTTAAGATAATTAATTTTGTAGCAAAACGGTTATTTTTTTATATTCATTTCAATTAGGTATCTCTTCAATTACTTTGTCAGTAAATGCCCAAATTGCTCTGCTCTGGGTTTGGAACCTAAACGAGGCATTTTAGTACTATCTCCATTTAAGTTACTTTAGCTAGATGGTCTAAGTGCCTTTGGTTGTTCCAGGTTTGAAACTTGGAACAAAAATAGTGTCGAAAGATATTGCTTCAAATACTGGGAATCTTTGTGATAGCTTGAGAATTTATTTTCATCTCTAATTATAAAATTTAAAGCTTAAAAAATAGCGTAGATTGAGAGGATCTATGAACACTTAAAATCTTGAAAATTGACAGTCCGAAAATTCATTACAAGATGTACTATTTTCAAAACATGAAATCCATTTTATCTCATGTCCATATATCTTGAGGTCAAGATGATCAATTTGAGGATTTTTGGATATCGAAACAACCTCTTCTAGTGATTTTTCAAAGTGCACCTTAATTTGATTGTTTAAGGCCTCACCCTTATATAAACTTTTTTCCTTTATTAAAATGCAATCCCTCATTCAAAGATTTTTAAGCAAAATCCATGAGGAGTTATGTATATGAAAATTTTAAAGAGTAAGCATTATGTTGATAAAATTGTTAGAGTTGTTGCTTTGTTGATGTGGTTTGACAGTTCTGATGATGTCTTTGCTACATCCTCCATCATCTCTCACGGATGAAAGGATCAAGAATATCTAGCGTTTGTCAAAGGACCTGGTTTCTATGCGGCCAAGCCCGTATATGTAGAAACGAAGCCTCTTAATAAGTATATTTTTGAGATGGATTTTAAGACCTAATTTTTAAGGTTATGTAATATCTAACATGGAGATCATGAATATGAAAAAATAAATAATTTTTAAAATTGAAATAATAATTCTAGTAAAAAAGCATTTGGACAGCTAGTTTCCATTGTTTTTAGATGAAACACCTACTTGCATCAATATTTAAGATGGATGACTTACACTTTCTGGACCGCATAAGTAGAAATGCGGTCCAACCCGCATGAAACAATTTTCCTTTATGAAAAGAAAAGAAAGAAAGAAAGAAAGAAAGAAAATGAATAATTGCCCAATATTATTAGGAACTCTAGATGGATGTAGTTTTGGGTTTGAGCAATAAAGTTTATTGTTGAAAAACTTGAATTAGGCCTTGAATCGCTAGTGGTTCATTTCCTATTCACCTCGCAATTCCCAAATAAAATTGGGCTACAATTAAAAAATAAACTGAAAATAAAAGACACCACTTTCCCTTATCTCTCTCATGCATATCTCCATAGTTCCTCTTTCACGCTTATCTCCTTATTTCCTCTCCCCTATCTCTTTATTTTCTCTAATGGGATTCTATCCACTCGCAATTTCTTTCTAAAAAATATTTTTTAATCTATTTTTCAAAATCCTTCCACTTAGCAACTCACGCACCAAAATCCTCCCTCCTCCCTCTTACTTTATCTTAGCGCAATTCTTATTTTCTTAAAAAATAACAAATTACAATTTTAAATTTGTTCTAAGACTAATAAACTGAATTAAGAGTTATAATCCTAGTTATACG